GGGGCGGGGCGAGCTGGGCGGGGGCGGGGCCTGCGGAGAGACGGGTCGGAGCACGGAGCGGGACCCGGAAGACGGGAATGAGGCCTCGAGTGTGAGGGTGGGGCCAGGGAATGGGGCGGGGCCTAGAGGACGGGCTGGCCCAGAGCGGGAGTGGGACAGGGTGTGGGCGAGTCCTGTAATGGGGCCTGGAGGGCGAGAGGCCTGGAGAGTGAGGGAAGGAAAGGGGGTGCTTGGTAGTCAAGTACCGAAGCCTGAAGAGGCTAGGGGTAAAGTGTTGAGACGAGAGCCAGGACGTGGCCCGGATAGCGGGGGGCGGAGCCTATGCGGTTTGGGGCGGAGTTTGTCGACCAGAGCTGGGTCGATCTTACCCACTAGGGCAGCGCCGTGAAGAGGCTGTGGGTGGGACTTAAGAGATGCAGCAGGTAGTGTTAAGATATTTTGGGGTGGGGTAAGGGAGGGGTGAACCTAATGACCGGGGCGAGTCTTAGAGTGATAGGTTGAGGATTGTTAAGAGTAACTGGGGTTGAGGGGGATAGTGTTAAGAGAAAAAGGGTGCGTCGGTGCTTATACACGGGGTGCATACCGGGCTGAGGTCATGAGATGAATGAGAACAGACTCAAGAGCTGGGGCCTGAGCCCCTGAAACAAAGGGTTGGAGCGGGGTCACTTCTGAGAGCACGGCTTAGGAGCTTTGGGACGCGATCATCGCATCCGGGAAAGGGATGTGCACCGGATGGGGTAGGAGTTTGGAGGGCAGTAGGAACAGGAAATTCTTGGGCCTCAATTTGGACGCCTGTGGCCTAGATTTTGGAGATAGGTGGGACTGATGGAGATGGGGTGAGGTTCCCGTGCAGGCAGCACGTTAACGAGCAAGCAGAGAATTCCTGAGGTGGGCTGCTTAGCTGTAAGTGGGGCTTGTCTGTGGGCGGGATTCAGCAGTCAGGTAAGGAACCTCAAACCAGGTTGAGGTGAAGACTGGCCCAAGGCTTCGAAGGCAGATTGGGGGCTTCAGCCACCACTTCAGAGAGTGCGATTCAGTGATTATAAATTGGGATGCTTGAAGCCCCAGAAATGTTAGCGGGTTTTGTTGCTTGTTGGGAATACGGTGGGTGGAATGTGACGGTTCGTCCCCCCTCGTTTCCCCTAATCTGCCTTCACAGGAGACGCCAACCAACGAGCTGAGCGTCCAGGGCCCCCCCGAGGGGGACTCGGACCCGTCAACGCCCCCAGCGCCCCCGACGCCTCCCCACCCCGCCACCCCCGGAGATGGATTTCCCAGCAACGACAGCGGCTTTGGTGAGGAGAAGGGCCGGAGGCAGGGCAGAGTTGGGGGCGGGGTCTATGGGGCGGGTGGTGCGAGGGGCGGGGCCTGAGGAGAGGCAGGAGCGGAGGGCGGGAACTGGAGTTACAGAGTCTGACCACGTTCTCTCCTCTGCCCCCGCTAGGAGGCAGTTTCGAGTGGGTGGAGGATTTCCCCCTCCTCCCCCCACCAGGCCCCCCCCTGTGCTTCTCCCGCTTCTCCGTTTCACCTGCGCTGGAGACCCCGGGGCCCCCCGCCCGGGCCCCCGACGCCCGGCCCGCAGGTACCGTGATCCAGGCTTTCTTTCTGCCCTGTCCCCACCTTTGCCCATCTCTTTATGTCCCCATCCGTCTCCCCCGACCCTTGTTCCCATCTCTGAATTTCCCTCCTCTCCGTACTGTCTCTTCCTTCCCCTACATCCCCCACCCCCAGTCAGAAGTGATACCCCATCCACCTCTGGAACCAGCTCAGACCAGGCGGTATCCATCAGTCTTGAGCAGTCACGTCCCTTCTCTGAGCCTCAGTTTCCCCTCCTGTAAGGATCTCCCATGCCTCTTGCTCATCTTTATCCCATCTCTGGGCTCAGACTCCTGTCTGGCACTTGCAGGATCACGATCCCACCTCCCTTGGGGATGGGGTGGGGACAAGCTGATCAGAGGCAGATAAGGAGAGAGGAAACCAGCATGCTCAAAACTGGTTAATATGAACCAGAGCGGAGAGGATATGGCCAGGGAGTTCTATAACAATAACAAGTAACACCTAGCAAGTACTCACATAGACCTTGCAGTGTACTTGCCACATTTTAACTTATTTAATCCTCACTACAATCCCATTGGGAGGATTCTCAGTTTCGTCCCCATTTGACAAAAGGGAAAACTGAGGCACAGAGAGAAGTGAGGATTCAGAATTAAAGCTGGGACTGCCTAGCCTTGGAGTCAGTGCCCTGTCTAGTAGTCAATATTTGTCAGGTTCCTTTCCTGTGGCTTTTCCCATATGCAATATAGCTGATCCTCATGGCCACCTTGGGAGAAGGTCATGTCACCTTTAGTTTCTAACTGTACCTGAAGTTAAGGTCACTCTCAGAGAGGAGGGCACAGGCAACACTCATGCGCGGGACTGGGGCTGGGTTGGGTTCTCTGCTGCCCCCTGCTTCCAATCCAGAGAACACCCCTGGATGCAGAGCTTGTGCTGAGCCTGGCAGGTGTTCCAGGAGAAGGGAACTGAGAAGGTAGAAGATGCAACTGGACCTTTACAGGGAGGGTTCCATTCCTACTCCCCTGATTCTTGCCTGAGTCCAGGTGTTGGTCCTGCTATTTCTCTGCTGTGTGACTTGGGGCAAGTCACTTTCCATCTCTGTGCTTGTGTCCTCGTGTAGAATAGGGATAATAATATCTAACTCATAACAGTGTTGAGGGGATTCAATGGCTCAATCCTCCTGTGTATGCAGCATGAAGCCTCTGTTAGCTGTTATTGCATTTCATTAAGTAGATGTTTATTGAGCTTCCACTGTGTGCAGATGCTGTGCTGGGCATGGGGGATTTGATGCTGAGCAAGACCTGGTGAGCCCTGCCTTGTCCTGCCACAAACATTGACCACATAGTCCCACAATAAATGAATAACTGTAAACCTAGGGTTGCTGAGAAAGCAGATGAGAAGAGCAGAGGGCTTTGTCTCCCCAGTAGAAGTGTCACTTAACCAGAGACTTGAAGGGTTGGTAGTCATTAACTAGGTGAAAGGGATGGGGACAGCATTCTAGCAGTGGGAACAGCTTGCACAAAGGGCCTGAGGCAGGAGAGTGCTTGGCCAGTTCAAGGAACAGAAGGGATACCAATGTGGCTGGCCTTTACTTAGAGAGTGTGGAGAGTGGAGGGGGTGAGGTAGGAGTGGGCAGGGAAGACTAGGTAGGGCTTGGGGTGGGCTGGGGGACTGGGACTTTGTCCTGGGGGTGCTAGGGAGCCACAGAGGACTGTAAGCAGGGGAGGGGCAGAGACAGGGTTGGGTGTAGGAAGACCCTCTGGGGCCACGTGGGGGCTGAAGATGGGAGAGTGGAAGCTGGAACACTGGGGAGAGGCTGAGGCGAGGGTCTGCGTGGAGAGAATAATGAGCCAGGACCATAGGAATGGATAGAAGGGGACATGGCAGAAAGAGTCAAGGGAAGGAAGGGCAGTGGCGGTGGCTGACTCTTTACTTGGCTGCATCTTCAGGCCTCACCCCAATGTCATTCCTTCCCTGAAGCCCCCATCTCAGGGCCCCCATGAGGACAGGGTGTGGTGGGTTCCAGGGCATGAGGACACTGGCTAAGCGGTAAGTCAGGTCTGAGGGCAGCAGGACCAGCAAGCAAGGATGACTTCACCTTTAATCACCAGGAAAAGAGACGGAGGGTTCAGTCATGCAAAACCCCAAATCCCTTCACTTGGTCAACAAATATTCCCTGTGCAGTGTGGGCTGGGAAGGTGCTGAGCCCATCTGTCTCTCAAGACCATGGCATGGAGGCCCAAGGTGGAGTCCCTGTTTCTGTGCTCAGAGTGGCTTTGTCCACTTAACCGATACGTACTGGGTGCTGAGTGATGCCACTTACCCCAAAGTCTACCCACTCCTTTGAAAATAAATGAGGGTTATGCTTCCCATTTACAGAGGGAAACTGAGTCTCAGGGATGGTGGGAGGGCATTGACTTGACTTAGGCCCCCCAGGTAAGAAGTACAGAGTAGATAGCGAGGGAGCCTGCTATGTGGTCCTCAGTGAGAACCTTCACCCCCAGACCCTGGTTTTCTGGACTGTGGAATGGGTATGACTCTCATTCTACTCAGGAAGGCCAGAGGAGGAATCGTAGGAAAGTTTAGTGAGAGGCTAATGAGGAGAGATTTTTCCATAGGGGAGAAAGGTGCTTTGTGACAGGCTGGGTAACAGGGACATAGCAGTGACCATAGTCCTTGTCCTCACTGAGCTTACATTCTAGAGGAGCAAGCAGATAGGAAGCTCTTCAACAATGGTTGGGGTTATCCCAGAGTGAGAAGCATGGAGAAAAATAATCAGAGGGAAATGAGATAGAATGACTGGGGTGTCAGGGGGTGACTGCTTCCTCTGAGGAGGGACTTTGAAGCAAGGGCCAGAGTTACATGGGAAGAGTGTTCCAGGCAGCAGGAGCAGTGAGTATAAAGGCCCTGGGGTAGGACTATGCCTAGAGCATTGGAGGAGTAGTGAGGAGGTCAGTATGAGCAGAGGAGGAGAAAAGGAGTAGGTGAGGACAGAAAAGGGACAGAGCACATCATGCAGGGACTTGTGGGCCTTTGCTTTCACTTTAAATGAGTTGGAAGCCATGAGCCTGTCCCCCGATTAATTCAGTTTCTTTATCCATTCTCTCTGCCCTCAGGCCCCGTGGAGAACTGACTCTCCGCAGACCTGACCCCCCCGTACCCCCAGAAGAGGGGTTGAGAGTAGAATCCTCTGTGGACGATGGAGCCACTGCCACCACCACAGACATCGCCTCTGGGGAGGCCCCCGAGGCTGGGCCCTCCCCTTCCCCCACCATGTGCCAAATGGGAGGCCCTGGCCCCCAGCCACCCAGCCCCCCGGATGGCTCCCCTGACCTCCCCGACCCCCTCGGTGCCAAGTGAGGCAAGATGCCCTTCACCCCTCCCTGGAGAGCCACCTTTCTTGGAACTGAAATGAACTCTTTTGGGCCTGGAGCCCCTCGGCACAGCGGGGGTCCCTCCTCACCCACTCTGGGCCCCAGACAGGGGCCCCAGGCTTTGGGGACCTGGACACCCCCATCTCGCGTCTCCGCTTCCCCAGCCTGGCCCCTGGAGGGGCCTCTCGTTCAATCCTTTGCGTGGCATTTTCACATTATTTAAAAAAGACAAAAACAACTTTTTGGAGGAACGTGTGGGGCCTGTGTGTTTCAGAAGTGGGGAGGGGAGGATTCAGGGAGTGCTACCCAGGAGAAGTCACCATCCTCACAGCCCTGTTTGGTAGATGGGACATCAAAGCTCAGGGAGGTGGAGATGCCCACGCAGTGGCAAGGCCCCAGCTTATCTTCTTTGTTTCCATTCTGTGTCTGGTGTACGCATCGCCCTACTTTGACTGCAGCTTCAATGGACAGTTCAAGAGGTGACATGGAGCCAGTGAGGGTTGGGGAAGGTGGCGGGTTGTGATTAGAGCTGCGTTTCCATAAAGCGGGCTGGGGTAATGGCCAGAAGCTGTCTCAGGGTCAGGGGCTGATGGGGTGGGGGTACAGAAATGACCTGCTGATGGCCACACTGGACCATGACATCCCATATACCTTCTTACATGGGCACTGCCTGACCCTTGAAGGTCAGGGTCGACCTGTCCACGGTAGCCCTGCCTCAGTTTACCAGTTTCTCCACGGCACCCCCTACCCCCCCCATTTTCATCTCTTGCCTTCACCCTAACTGCGTCCTGCTCACATTTCTCTTCTTTTTGTCCCTTCCGTTCCCTCTCTCCCTGCCCGTTTTGGTCTCCACCTGACTTTGTGTTTTCTGTCTCTCTGTTTGGCTGTCTCCTCCCTGTCTGTATTTCTTTGTCTGAGTTCCTCCCTGTCTCCACTTTTTTCTTTGTCTGTATCCCTGTCACCTCTGTCTCTATTATGTTGTTCCGCCTTGTGTTTTTGTCTTTTTTTTCTTTTTTGGTGGCTGGCCAGTATGGGGATTTGAACCCCTGACCTTGGTGTTATAACACTGTGCACAAATGAGCTAAACCACCATCCCTGTCTGTTTCTTTCTTCTTTTTCCCCTAGACTGTTTCTGCCTCCAGCTCATCTTTTTCCCTCTGAGTGGGTCTGTCTTTGCATCTCTGATTTCTTAGCCTTGACCTGTCCCCTATTACCTTGGAACCAGATTACTGGCATATTGGAGGGATGTAGTTGGGATGAGAGAGGTGGGAAGGGGAAAGGAGTGGGTATCCAGCTGGGATGTTAGAGACTCTGGCTTAGGAATTAAGGTGATGAGGGCATTAGGGTCACATGTAAGTCCTAGAGGATTGGGGAAAGGGAGAGTGAGAGGATTAAGTATACTATCTCTGCTGGTAGACCTGGCACTGCTTGAACTGATCTTGGGACATGCTTGTTGAGGGTGGGTGCTGCATGGAACCAAGCCAGGGAAGGCAGTGAGGGCCAGGACTCCTGAGTCTGAGGGAAGAGGGCCTGGAGACCCAACTCCCGGGTCTGAAGGATGAGGTTGGGGACCTAGACTCCTGGATTTGGGGGAGGAGGGGTATATTTGTTCTTTAGGGATGACATAACAAAGTACCTCAAACTAGGTGTCTTAAACTACAGAAATTAATGTCTCACAGTTTTGGAGGCTAGAAGTTCAAAACCAGTGTCAGTGGCCGGTTCCTTCAGAGGGCTGTAAGAGAATCTGTTCCATGTCTGTCTCCCAGTTTCTGCCATTCCTTGGCTTGTAAATGCATCACTCAGATCTCTGCCTTCATTTCCACATGGCCTTCTCCCCATGTGTCTGTCTCTGTGTCAAAATATCCCCCTTCTATAAGGACACCCGCATTGGATTAGGGCCCACACTAATGACCTCATCTTAATTATATCTGCGATGACCCTATTTCCAAAGATCACATTCTGAGATGCTGGGGGTGTGGACTTCAATATATAAATTTTAAGGCTGGCTGGTTAGCTCAGTTAGTTAGGAGGTGGTGCTGATGATGTCAAGGTCAGGGGTTCGGATCCTTGTACATGCCAGCCACGAATATATATATATATATGAATTTGGGGCAGGGTGTGTGTCACAGTTCAAACTGTAAGAAGGGGATTGGGAGTTTGGGGTCATGGGTGAGGAGGGAGTTGGAAACCACAATCATTAATCCTTGGGAGAAGAAAACTTGGAGATAAAACTGAAGGCCAATTTTGAGGTGACTTGAGTCTGGCTTGAATGTTCCACAGGCATCTCCAGCTAAGTTTGGCCAAAGCAAAACTATGTTGATTCTCCACCCCCCTGCCCCCAAATTCCTTTTTGACCATCTCAGTAAGTGGTATTGTCATTCACCACTTGACCCAGCTCTCTGCAAGTCCTATTGGTTTCTCTTTCAGAATGTCTGATGTGGGTCCATTTCTCTCCACCTCCACAGCCATACTATCTTGCATCTGGATGACTGCACGGTCTCTTTATTCACCTCCCTGCTTCCTCTGCTCACCTCCAAATCATTCTCCTTGCAGCAGTCAGAGGCTCCTCCTACAACCTCAATCCAAACACATCACACTCCTGCTTCAGGCCCTTGGATGGCTTCCCATATTAAGGATACATCCAAAGCCCCCAGCATGGTTGACCAAACCCCATATGCCTCCCCTCTGACCCCATCCCCTACCACTCCCCCACCCCCTGCTTACCACCACCACACAGGCACACCTGCCTAGTGTCAGTTACTCCAACACACCATGCCCTTTCCTGCCTTGCATCTCCAAAGAGCCAGCTACTTCTCTACGTAGTACGCACACGATACCTATGGGTTCGTTCCATGAAGGTGGGCAGAAAAGAGTGAGATAGTGGTGGGACCCTCTATTTACCCAGAGACCTCATTTCCCAGGACCTTCTTGGTTCAATGACTCCTTAACACTGGAACCTTTGGGAGAAGTTGGGAGTTCCATTTTCTCACTTGAGAACTCCATTTCCCATCAGCCCTGGGGGGTCAAGGCAGTCAGGGCCTCTTCCCAACCTCCACAAGGGTAGGTGGCCACACTAAGGTAAACCGCGCAGTGGACACTTGAGAAACTACAACTCCCAGGGAACCTCGAGACTGGCTCTCCTGTAGGTGGGGCAACCAGTGCCGCACAGCTTTCCGGGAATTGTAATCCAACAGTCTCGGTGTCAGTGGGTGATGGTGCCACCTTTCAGGGTGGCAGAGTTGTTAATGTGCTAGAGCCCTTCACGCTGGTGGGTACCTGTGGCCAAGGACTGGGCTCAGAGACTCAAGACGCGAGTCCGAGACTCAAGATACTCCCCACCCCACTGGAGTACTCAGCTGGGTGTTTGACAACTCCAGGACACAACGTGTAGGAGAAACTACAGCTCCTGGTATTCCCCAGTGCGACAGGATGCACTTTCAGCCACCTCTAGATCCCAAGGCCTGCCGGGAGTTTTAGTTTATCCTACCAAAGGCTTTAGCTCCAATGGCAGGCGAGTGAGAGCGACATGGGGTCTCCCAACCTGCCAATCCCACCTAGCGGTCCACAAAACCTTGCTCTTTGGGGACACCACGCATACACCAACTGGAGGGCAAAAAGGAACAGGCCCGAATCCGAGGTCCAGGGGTATTCCAAAACTAAGACTTCACTTCAAAGAGGTGGTCCTCACATTGCTGAGGCTGCCAGATTCCCAGGCAAGATGTTCAAAACCCAAGTCCTGAGCCCTATCTTTGACATAAAATGTCCTCCAAAGAAGACTGATCATCTGGTGGCAGACAAACCAGGCTCAATGGCACTGGCCCAAAGTCCTGTCCTCTCATGCCAGGCCCCACCCCAGGCATGCCCACGGCACCCTCTATGCCTGGCCCAGCCCACTTCCGGGACATCCCATGATCAAGGCCCTTGCACTGTCTGTACTCAGGGCACAGCTCACTTCTGACAACTCATCCTTCTGACTCTCTTTACAAGGTCCCCTTTATAGCTCCTCCAGCTCTAGTTTTCCCTCAAAGCACAGGACACTGCTCACAACCCCATCAGGTATTATCTGCTGCCTCTCAAAGACCACAAGCCCCATGAGAGCAAAGGTGGGAACCAGCTGATGGCTGTCAAGTAACGTCCAGAATAAATGATAGACTTTGCCCTGGATCCCTGCATTCTACACGCCATCCCCTGCAATTGGCCAATTCTAACTTAACAGGAATTTCTCCATATTAAACTTCTACCTCTGCTTCACCCCTGCAGGGCTTAGGGTGAAACCAGAACTGACCCACCAGGACAGACCTCTTGAGGCCACACTCAGTACCCTTCCCTCATGCACTGTGAGCTACCCACAGAGATGGGTGGGTACAGGCATCTCTGACTAGACAGCGCTTCTGGCCCTTGTCAAGTGGACTGGCTGACTGGCTGGCTGGCTCTGCCACATACCTTAGCTCTGTAAACCCCAGGAAATGAGGGTGTCTGCAGGCCATGAGTGGTTAAATAATAAGATTACCAACAGCATGTTAATTACAAATAATGAGCGAGGAGCTAGAGGTGGTGAATTTTCCAAACGGGAACCAGGATCCACAGCCCCAGGGCCCAGGGGCCCAGCCACCTGGGTGGGGCAGCTCCCTAATAAATAATGGGGTTTTGGGCAGGGGGTCAGGGTTGCTCCTGCTTCTTCTTGATGGAAATTCGCTTCTTCCTCGCTGCCAGCATCTCATAGAAGGGGTCCACGCTCACGGCTGCCCTGCAAACGGGGAGGGATTCCAGGATGAAGACCCAGGAGTCCAGGCTCCCAGCCCCTCCTCCCTCAGACCCAGAAGCCCAGTCCCCAGGACTCCACAGCCCAGACTCACTGGATGGACTTGATCCACTCATCCTTCTCCTCCTGCGTGGGGGCTGAGATCCGATACACCATGTGGTTCCCCTCAACCACCCGGCCATCTGCCTCTGTTTTGCAGGCTTTGATAAGCTGCCCCTTGTTGT